CCATTCTGCATGGGATTTTGGGCATGCACGCACACACTCCTGGAGTGAGTTTCGAGCCACCAGGTCTGGTACTTGAACCACAATACACTACATGGGAGTCCAGCGATGTAATCACTACACCATCTGCTGGTCCCAACCCATCATATTAACAATCTAAGGGGAAAAATCATGACCACCTTCAAAGGTTCTAAAAAGGTATTTGATTGAAAATGGGGGTGGAGGAGACAGGCAATAGAGAAGCAGCAATACAACTTGGACCCACATGTAAGGGCCCTGAGTTCATGTCCCAGGACCTCCCTGTGTACCCCCAGGCATGAATATGCACATTCATGATCCAGGCTGGCCTAGGCAGAGGGTGGATCACAAAGTGAAGACCCTATTGGGGGTACATGTTTCTCTCTCTCTCTCTCTCTCTCTCTCTCTCTCTACTTAAAAGAAAAGGAAAAAAATGGGAGCCAGCCCTGTGGCCTAGTGGTTAATGGAGCTGTATCCCACATAGCCAACCACACAATTTGAGCCCTGGCTTCAGTAGCTTGGGAAGCATACCAGGTGCGGTTGTGTGTATGCCCAGAATCCCAATGGGATGGAGAGATGGAGGACAAGGGATTGCAGTGTAACCATGGTACCACTGGGAGGTGCTTTCTCCCTTTCTTTTTTCTCTGTCTCTCTGGCCAGCATACATGCCCTCTGGAATGAAAGTATCACTCCTGGTAAATCAAAAACAAAAAGCAAATTAGGAGTTGATGGACACTTCCTTAACACATAAGAAAATACAGATCTCAGTTCAAAAGCCAGTATCCTAGTGAATAGGGAAGACTTAAGATTTCCCACTCATGTCAAGAACAAGCAAGGATGGGAACCAGCAGTTAGCGTAATGGCTATGTCGCTGGACTCCCACGCAGTCGACCGCGGTTCACATCCTGGACCCAGTGGCTTAAAACTCACGCCAGGCGCATGTGCATGTGTGCCCAAGATCCTGAGAGGAGAATGGAGGAGAAGGGATTGCAGCGTGACCATCCCCCCTGGGGGGTGATTTCTCGCTTTCTGTCTCTATGTCTCTCTCTGTCTGTCTGGCGAGTGCACGCACCCTATAGCGAAAACCTCTCAAAAAAAAAAAAAAAAGAACAAGCAAGGATGTTCATTATCAGCACTGCAATTTTCCACCATACTGTAGACCTTAACCAACTCAGACAAGAGAAAGAATGTAGAAATGGAAAATTTCAAAGTAAGAGGTAAAACTATCTTTATTACAGATGATACAATTTTATATTAAAAAAAATCAAAATAATAAATGGAAAAAACTGAACATTATATATATGAGAAATATGCTCAAACCCACATATAATACCCCAATGCAAATTAAAACCACACTTTTATCATTTTCATTGAGAGTTTCAACCTCCTCAAATTTGCTAAAACACTGTTGGTGAAACTGTAGGCAAAAAACACTCTCATATATTGTTGGAAAAGGGGTAAAACTGTTCAGAGCACATGGGTATTTGCCAAAGAACACATCTTTGGATACAGGTAGTGCTAAACAGAGGAATTTCATAGATGGGAATAAGATTTGTGTATAGTTTCTGGTTGACAATAGCAATTTATCGAGCATTTATTATGTGCCAGAAACTACTCCAAGTACTTTATATATACAATAAAATAGCCCACAATACCATAAATGGGCCCCAAAACTCCCACAAAAAAAGAGACCATGTTATTTGAAGGTTAATAAAGGGACTGAGGTGTACGCCTGCTGTTTAGGAGAGGAGCCAACTAATTACCAATGGTCTATTTTAGTTTCCTTTTTGTGGAGCATAGTACCATGGAGTTTCAACGTTTTGTCTATTTCGCGTTCACAGTAGCTTTATGGCTGCCTGTTCTATACCCTTCTCTGCCTCCTCCTTGTGGGAAACTTCATTGTGTTCAGATGTCAATTCTCAGGAAAAATACTACTATCTTTGGTATGGACTAAGGTCTGATTAGTCTAAATCTATTTAAAAAAATCCCATGGGTGGGGGGTGGGCAGCAAGTGACGTGGTGATTAAGGCACTGGACTCCCACATGGCTAACTGCGGTTCAAGTCCTGGACCTGGTGGCTTAAAAATCACACCAGACACATGTGCATGTATGCCCAAAATCCCAGGAGGAGAATGGAGGAGAGGGGAATGTGGTATGGTCAGGCCTTTGGGGGCTGATTGCTCACTTTCCCTCTCTGTCTCTCTCCAGTGAGCAAACATGCCAATATGCAAAAGCCAAAAAAAGTAAGAGAAAAAAAGAAATCCCATCCCTCTTATCAGTGATTAGTTCAGCATGTAACACACACCTGGCTACTATAACAGAAGGGAAAGTTGTCTGGGGGTTCACGAGAAAAGTTCCCATGGTATTAGAAAGGAAACTCACCAATTAAACACTCATTTTTAATAGTGATTAGTTAATAATTAGCAATGAAGAATCAGTTAACAATACTGTATTGTTTACTTGAAATTTGCTAAGAGGAGAGAGATCTCAGGTGTTCTCACCACACACTCGCGCGTGCACACACACACACGCATGCACAAACACACACACACATAAGAAAATAATAATTATGTGAGGTGATCAAAATAGCTTGGTTGTGGCGATTACCTGTACAATGGGCACTTATATCAAACATAAAGTTGTACACCTTAAATATATGTATTTTTATTTTCAACTGTAAATCAAAGATGAGAGGGGGAAAGAGGGAAGCTAGGGGAAAGCAGACACTTCCTCCATGGGACATTCTCCCCAGGTCTAAAGGATACCTGTAACAGCTCATGCATCTTTTGCCATCGCAATGAGAGCTAACCCGAGGCTCAAACTTCTGGAGCCTCCCTCTCTGGAATTCTTGTTCAAAGGAGAAGAAGTTTCCTTGTAGAAACCACTAGAGTAGATTGCCTGTTACTTGCAGTGAAAAGCATCCAATTTGATACTAACTCTTTAAATTAAAACCAATGCAAAATATTAACAACAACGACAACAACAAAAAAAAAAAACGACTAGCAAATGGCGTAATGGTTACATTGCTGGACTCCCACATGGTCGACTGCGGTTCAAATTCCAGACCCCGCAGCTTAAAACTCATGTTGGGCACATGTACACGCATGCCCAAAATCCTGAGAGGAGACTGGAGTAGAAGGGATTGCAGCAAGGCCATTCCCTCAGGGGGTGATTTCTCACTTTCTGTTTCTCTGACTCTTTCTTCTTTCCCTCTCTCCAGCGAGCACACATGCCCTATAGCAAACATTTCTCTAAATAAAAATAGAACACCAACTACAATCCTCTATAAATGAGACAATGGAGGCACAGGGAAATTAAGAAACTTAAAATATAACTTACCTTAAAGCCATGGAAAACCAGACCACAGCCAGAATCAGTGTGTTCATTCTGTAGGGCCCCATCACACAGTACAGTGCGTTATCCCAGACCTATAACCCAGACCAGAGGACTGTCAAAGGAAGGAAGGTATGACTTGGAAGAGCTCATTTTTCACAAGTTTTCCAATAAATTGCCTATGAATGGGCACTCCGGTATCTCCCAGATGCAATGATTCTATCCAAATTACAAGGAAATGCCTTTTTCTTACTGGCCGGCCTCAGACTCTTAACCATGCTAGAGCACTTTTCCTGGGAACACGATACTTCCTAAAATGTGACTTATCGTGTACCAAGTTAGGATTTCAAACTGGACTGTAAGTCCTGAGTTCTGCTCCCTGTCTGTGAGCAGGGATGATATCCAAACATTTATTGACCAAATATCCAAAATGCCATCTAGTCTCAACAGACTCTGCTGCCTTAGGGGCCCAACACCCTGTTTGTTCCCTTCCTGTAAAAGCCTGTGATCCAAAAAAATGACCTTGCTCTTTATGAAGAATCTCTAAGTAATCCTGAAGAAATCTTGGGGCCATTTATTTCGCTCACTTTTTCCTCCCTATGAATTCTTTACAGAGAAGTTGTTAGTGAGAAGGACGTTTACCCAGACTAGACATTCTATCTGCATTCAAAATTCCTGCCTTGGGACCAGCAGGTGGCATAGTCCTTAAGGTGCTGAACTCCCACATGGCCCACCATGACTTGAGACCTGGACCTGGCTTGAAACTCTCACCAGGGGCAGGTGCACATGTGCCCAAAGTTCCAAGAGGAGAATGAAAGAGAAGTGAATGCAGAATGCCATTCCCTTGGGTGTGTATGTGGGGGGTGATTTCTTGCTTTCTATCTCTCTGTCTCTCTCTTTCTCTATAGCAAATGCATATGCCCTATAGCAAAAATCTTTTTTAAAAAAATCCCTGCCTTGAGAAGGAAGAGTAAAGCAAAGAAATAAGGTTGAGAGAGTTTGAGCCTCAAGGACAGAGAGCAAGTCAGAAGCAGACCTGGGTTGGGACCCAAACATCCCCATCCAGGTTAGTTTCCTCCCTCGCAGGCTGCCTTAGGCTGATAGGGTGTTGAGAGTCTCTGTCCTTCATTCACTGGGGTTAGAGAATCCCGTGGACCCATGTGACATCCAGCATATGTCCCCAGTCATACCTGCTTGAAAGTGGTGTTGAATCTGACCAGCCAGCGCTGGTACCAAGTTCCTGTTGAACTCTGGATCTCAATGAATTCATCCATTTGCTTGGGCGTTTTGATATTGGAAACCTGGAAAGCAAAGACAGGTCAGGAAATCTTGTGTTCAGTATTTTCAATGTTTAGTTTAACGCAGCTAACTTTATTAACTAACCTGAGGCTAGAGAAGGCATTGGTGACACTCTAATACTGATTCCTTTCCTTTTCTTTAAGTTGTTTTTGATTTTTTACTATAGGATATGTGTGTTCGTCAGAGAGACAGAAAGTGAGAAATCACCCCACCCCCCAGGAGGGATGGCCATGTCACAGCCCCTTCTCTTCCATTCTGCTCCTGGATCTTGGGCATGCATGAGTTTCAAGCTGCTAGGTCCAGGACTGGAATCACGGTTAACTACATGGGAGTCTAGTGACGTAACCATTATGCCATCTGCTGGCCCCTAGCTCTGTGATTCTTAAGCAAAGGTATACATAGTAACTTATTCTTGGACTGGTTCTGTGGCCTGGTGGTTAAGGCAGCTAGATCCCACATGGCAAACCATGTAGTATGAGTCCCAGACCTGGTGGCCTGAGAAACATGCTGGGCATTTGTATGTAAGTGCCCAAAATCCCAATGAAGGAAGAGATAGAAGAGAACAGATCACATTGTGACTATTCGCCATGGAAAGTTCTTTCCCCTCTCCTTCTCTCTTCGTCTGTCTCTTTCTGACAAGTGCATATACTCTTTAGCAAAAAAAAAAAAATTTAAAAAATCACTCTATTCTTAATAGGTATTAACATCACAGAAGTCTAAAATCCATGCAGGCAATAATACAGGAAAAGAGTGTTGCCAATTAAAGTATTTTTTTCAGAACACAACAGAGTAAGAGGAATCATGATCTCCCTGCTATCCTTAATCTTTCTGGTAGAAAGCAGAGCTCGGGAGTCGAACAAGGTTGTACATCTCAGCGTTCCCCTTTGAGACAACAGAGGGCTATGGAAAGTGTTGGTATGCGCATGTGAACAAGAAGTTCCAATGTGCAACCCTGGGCTTACTGAGAGGGATTTTCAAGTTAACCAGATGTTTAAAGCAACCATGGCACTGCACAGCTCATCACCGTTTTAAAGAGATTCTTGACCACACACACTCTTTTAATCAAGTTATCAAGGTCCATGCTTGGTGACATTCTTCCCTAAACTCACAGAACAAATGAAAGAATGTCCTGCCCCCCAAATTTTTTTTAAATGAAAAACAAAAATAATTCAAAAACAGTTTCTATCACCTCCTACAACAAACCTTTCATCTAAGGATAAAAATGAATCATAAGAGAGTCTCCACCTCTTTCTTTAGCCAAAGAACTAGAACTCTGAGGAGACAAAAAAAAAGAGATAGAGAGATGAGGTTGGATAGCACACAGAGAGAAAACCAGTCCAGTCCTTCTATATAGAATACGGACTCACTAGGACAAGCAGTTGGCGTAATGGCTACGTCGCTGGACCCCCATATAGTCGACTACGGTTTGATCCCAGACCCAGTGGCTTAAACTCATGCTGGGTGCTCGTGCATGCGTGCCCAAGATCCTGAGAGGAGAATGGAGGAGAAGGGGTTGCAGCGTGGCCATCCTCCCGGGGGGGTGATCTCTCACTTTCTGTCTTTCTGTCTCTCTCTGTCTTTCTGGTGAGCGCATGCACCCTATAGCCAAAACCTCTCAAAAAAAAAAAGACTGACTCACTATTTCCTGAGCACTACACCTAAGACAGCTTGACCGTACCTTTTTTTTTTCCCCTTAAATCCTAAAAACAGTGACTCTCTAACTTTTAGGAGGGTCAGGCAGCTTTTTGAGAATCTGGTAAAAGCATAAGCTCTCTTCCCTAAAAACTGCACAGACAGAAGCACACTGTGAGCCTCCTGGACTCCTTCTACCATCCCCAGGCTTTGCAAAAGATCTTCTGCCTGGAGTCAGATAAGAAAACTTCAGGACTAAGGCAGCAGGCTCTGCAGTAGGACTCGGCTGGGAGCTGGGCTTTAAGTCATCCAGTACCTAATGGATATTGTAATCCCAGCTACAGCCAAAGGAGACCAGAGGGCAAGGCTGACACTGAATCAGGAATCACCTTAACGATACACTGACAGCCTTGAGATATCCACGCAGATGTACATTTTTCCATTCTCTGCTCCTGGGTGGTGGGCGAGGATGCTATAACACCCCACCCCTTCCAAATTTGGGAGTGGGTAGGTTGATGACTTCAGGCAAAATGATTGTGATTTACAATGGACTGCAATGCTTGTCTTTGATCCAGTCTAAATTAAAATAAAGCCTGTATTCATCCCAGCCCTGCAGAACATAGATCATCAGCAGAACACTTCAACTCCTTTTTCCCCATAGGTTTCGCTGAGAACACCTGTCTGGTGGAAGTTCAGGAGCTTTGGACACCAAAAGCAGTTGGTGAAACCTGGGGCTCACAGGTGAGGAGGAGACCTCGAGCCTTAGCCGTAAGCATGGAGTGAGGGTTCAACCAGTCCTAAGCCCTTTTTCCAGGCCACAGAACATCTGTGAGCAACCTTTCCTGGGGAGGTACAGGAACAAAGCAGGTGACATCCTCAAGGTGGGCTGAAAAGTCATGCCTGAGTGCACATAGAGGCCAGCTCTCTGAGGTCAGGCAATGCTTTGTAGTCTTTGCTCCTGCCCCCTTTCTTCCTCCTTCCTTCCTTCCTTCCTTCCTTCCTTCCATCCATCCTTCCTTTCTCTTCTCCCTGGTCCATCAGTCATTCACTTCTACATAATCATTATCAAGTCCGTATGGAATACTGAACTCATAACTTTCTGAATTCACTTTCTCTGTTAGATCAAAACCACTAAAGCAGAAGGACTGCCTCAGAACCTAGCAAGTGGCATGTATTTGGGGATAAGACACAATTCCAGGGCCAGCCAGTGGCATGAAGGTTAAGGATTCTGGATCCCACATGGCCAACTGTGTGGGAGTCCCAAATCTGGCAGCTTAAAAAGTGTGCCTGCACAAAATGCCAAGAGAAGGGGTGGTGGTGGGGCCATCCTCCCTAGGAGTCAACTTCTCACTTTCTCTTTCTTTTTCTCTGTGTCCACAGGGAGTGCACACACCCTGTAGCAAAACAGCAACATACAAGGTGCATGTATGTGTATGCCCAAAATCCTGAAAGAGGAGAAAATGAAGGAGACAAGTTTGTGGTGTGGCCATCTCCAGACAGGGAAGGGACGGCATTCTCACTTTCTCTCTCTCCTTCAAGTGCACCCGTGCCTGTAGCAGAAAAAGAAAACAGGACACAATTCCAGTGACTCATCACTCCTACTCAGTGATCTCTGCCTTGGCATATGTCTCCATCCATCTAAAAGCAGAATCTGCCTTCAAGTAAAAGGCTTAGCTTCCATCTTTGGAAATTTCTGGCAAAGATCTCATTTCTTGATATTAGGCTGCCTACATTTGTCAAAATAATTAAATGGGGGGCTAGCTGATGCTGGATTCTTACATGGCTGACCATGGTTTGAGACTCAGACCCAGTGGTTTGAAGATCACGCCAGGTACACATGCATGTGTGTCCAAAATCCCAGGAGGAGAATGGAGAAGGGATTGTGATGTGGCCACCCCTGGCACTGGTGGGGAGGTGACTCCTCACTTTTCCTCTCTCTTTCTCTGGCAAGTGTATGCACCATATGGCAAAAAGTGAAATAAATTAATAAATAGGAGCCCATTAGACAGGTGACTCTGTTGTCCTGGGATCCTACATAAGCAAACCAAAACCCAACTCAGAATGTAAAAGAAAATGAAACTTAAGCTTAGCCAGTCACAGGTTATCCCATGGGCATTAGTTACACTGCCTTGAGCTCCCTACCAGGGTATCCAGCGGGGGCAACTGCTCAGACTTATAACCAATCAAATAATGTCTTTGCCCGGCTTCCAGTCACGGTAAAAGCCTTCCTCCCATATTCACTGGGAGGCCCAACCCATTTCTAATTCAGAGTGCCCCTACTCATGAAATGCTGTCGGTTCAAATAACCTCTTAGAAATGTAACATCGACAAAGTTTATCTTTTAACAGATTAAAATGGATTGTCATGAGACAATGTGAGATCACTTCTCTAAAAAGGTACTCCCAGTCAGGCAAATCCTTCAGTCAGTTTAGAGTGGTGATTCCAGAAGAAACAGTGAGGAAACACCCAGTAAGCATCGCCATGCAAAATCGACTACAGGGATGACTTAGGATGAGTCAGGGGTCAGGGACAGCTTTTTCCTTATCTGAGAAAGGCAAGGATAGGCATGCAAGACGGGGTGGGGAACAATTATCAGTCAGGGCTGCCCTTAGGAGAGTCTGTGTTTGTTTGGTATAAATCTGTCAATAAACTGCTTGAGGTATAGGAGAATCCCAGGGAGACATGCTCATATTTGAAGGACTGGGCCCCACTATGAATGAGCCAAGAAGACGACGTTTTATTCCAGTGGGAGGACAGCGTGGAAAGAGGAAGGAGAAGATGGAGGAAAAGGGAACAGGGAGAAAGGAAGAAGGCTATGTCCTCTGTGATGTAATTCCGCTGCTATCCTTAAATGTTCAAAAAGGCTATTAAAATCATAGGTGCGTGGTGTGGGTGGTGTATGTCTGTCGGTGCATCTGTGCGTGTTTCTTACTGGGTGGGTCCATAAAATCCAACGTGGCAGACACTGAAGACCATGAGACATCTTCTAGGAATAAGCAGGAGCTTGGAGAGAAATCTGGACTACTTCCTGCTATGGAGAAGGACAGGGGTTAGGGGGTGCTGGCTAGAGTAGAGCCAAGCCCATTCAGATCTCAGTGGCAGGGAGCCCCTGCTGACATTGGTCTCTACACCTGCAGCCCTGCTGCAGTGTTACAATCCATCACAGAGAGCCACACAGATGGAAGGCAGAAAGGACCTCATTTGGAGTACTTTATTTTTTTAATTATTTATTTATTTTTCTTAGAGAGAGAGAGATCTTTGCTATAGGGCACATGTGCTTGCCAGAGAGACAGACAGAGACAGAGAGACAGAAAGTAAGAAATCACCACCCCCCTCCAGGGGCGATGACCATGGTATAATCCTCTCCCCTCTATTCTCTTCTTGGGATCTTGGGCACGCATGCACAGGCACCTGGAGTGAGTTTTTGGACACCAGGTATAGGACTCGAACCATAGTCGACTATGTGGGAGTCCAGTGATATAACCATCATGCCATCTGCTGACTCCCATTTGACATATTTTAAAAATGGTGCTTCTTAATACGTGTTTGTAATAAAAGCACGGGTCCCATATTTTAGATGTTTTTAAAAACATCAGAATTGAGGCAATATGCCATTGGACAATTCTCCATAGTGTATTACTTGAGTCTATTTTATGAACAAAATGTTATCACTTTTCTTTTTTTTTTTTTTTGACAGGGTCTTGTCATTTTGATCTCTCACCTTAGCATTTCAGCTGGGACTACATGCACACACCACCACATCAGGTTTTTATTATTATTATGATGATGATGATGATTTAAGAAAGAGACAGAGATATGCATTTTGGCAGGCCTCACTGTGTCATAATCCTCCTGCCCCAGCCTCCCCGTTAGCAAGGATTACAGGCTCACACAGTTACCTTCAGTACATTCAGCTTGGTCTGGGAACCAAGGCCTCCCATACAGATTCCAGCCTCCCAAGCTGTGGCACGACCTACACATCACGTGCCAGGACCCTGCCTCTTTTGCAGACAGGGGCTCAGGCCGTCCTCCAGCTCCCGATCCACCTGCCTCAGTCTCTGCCAGTCACTGGGACCACAGGAGCACACCACTTTGCCTTGCCTTTTAGGTTGGCCTGGAATCAAACCCAGGCTCCCTTGTGGTCCCAGCCTGCAGGACCACAGGGTCTTAGAAGCAGAAGCCACCACAGCTAGGTGTCCTCAGGTTATGTTTGAATTCTGTCTTTGTCTTCATGAGCAAGTGAGAAAGAGATAGCCAGCATCCCCAGTAGAGGCCTCACACCATGATCCATTCCCAGCCTTCAGCCGGCCCCAGATCACGGGCAAGCGTGTACCTGGCATTCTCAGGGAGGTCTCTGGACTCGAATAAGGCCCCTTCCCATGTGGGATTGCCTCCCAGAGCATCCCATTTCACTGCTGTGCCACCTTCTGGCCCCAGTGTTTTTGACTAATAGCTAACATCTGTGTAGCACTTACTCCAAGCCAGACACTGTCCTAGGTGCTTGGTTCAATCCTTAATGATAACCATTTTTATGAATTTTATTGTCTCTCTTTTCTCAATGAGAAAACTGAGACACAGAAAGTAATGTGCCTATGGCCTCACAGCTACAAAACATCACAGCAGGGATCTGACTCAGACTGCCCGGCTCCAGGGTGCAGAAGCTTAGCACCATGTGATCCTGCCTGAGAATAAGAGGTTTTATTTTACTTATTTACATTTTAATTTTTTGTTTTTAAGTTTTGCTGTAGGACACGTGCACTCACCAGAAAGAGAAACAAGAGAGAGAGAGAGAGAGAGAGAGAGAGAAATCACTCCTCAAGGGGGATGGCCACAATGCAATCCCTTCTCCTCCATTCTCTTCTTGGGATCTTGGGCACACAAGCACACACGCCCAGCAGGATTTACAAGCTGCTGGAACAGGACTGAAACTGTTCAGACAGCCATGTGGGATCCAGGTGCCTTAACCTCCATACCGCCTGCTGGCCCAAATCAGAAGTTTTCAGCAAGAAGTTAACAAGAACAAATGTTGTAACACACAAATTATGGAAGCCAAAGGATCCAAAGCAGTAAACTGGAGTTTGGTAGAAGTTAACCCAGGAAGGTGTCCTTGAGGAAATAGACTTTAAATAAAGTCTTAAAGTAAGTTATGGAAACAGGGGCACAGAGATCCCTATTACAGGCCGTCCTGTGGTTGGCCACAGCCACATGGCAAGCAGGAACTCAGAACATCTTCATGAAAATAATAGTATGTGGGCTTTTTGCTGTTTAGACTAGCGAGAAACAATACCTGGGCTGATAGCAGCGCTAGTGAGGGTGTAGAGAAATGGGTCCCCTATTGCTCATGCTATTGTAGACTGGCACGGCTCCATTGAAATGCAATTTGGCTATATATCTCAAGAACTGTAAGACTATCTGGTATTAAATATATATATCATATATACATATTTTATTTCTAGAAGTCTACTCTTAGAAAATAAACCCAGAGGAGACAGGTGGCTAAGGTACTGGGCTCCCACATGGTGGACCATAGTTCAAGTCCCAGACCTGGCATCTTGAAAATCATGCTGAGCATGTATGCGTGTGTGCCCCAGATCCCAAAGGGTGAGGGAGGAGAAGGGATTACAACATGCCCATCCCTTCCAGGAGGTGATTTCTCACTTTCTCTCTCTCTCTGTATCGCTCTGTCTCTCTCCTCTCTGGTGAGCGCATGTCCTATGACAAAAACCACAAAAAGAAAATAGAAAATGACCCCAGAACATAAAGGGGAATGAACTACATGTGAGAAGGCTCACTGTGTACGTGTGTACAGGAACAAGGTAATAAAACGAGGCAAGTAAGCCTCTAACACTAGGGACGCGTTCAGAAAAGCACTAACGTTCCTACCATTGTTTACTAAAATGATGGTTATGAATAGTATGAGGCACCATATAAAGTGCTTCTGAGTACTATTAAATAATATGTCTATGTAAACATGCACATATGTGCTCACAGCTGTATGAACACAGCTAGGCTTTTTGTTACCATTTATATCTACCTCTACATCTATCTATCTAGGTAGTGAGAAAGCACACTCTAGGGGAGACGGCCTTGCCACAAACACTCCTCCATTCTCCTCCTGCGATTTGGGCACACATGCACATGTGCCCAGTGTGATTTTCAAGCTGCCAGATCTAATACTTGAATAGCACAGTTGGCCGTGTGGGACTCAGCCACCTTAACCACCACACCACCTGGGTGGCCTTCTGTCATCATTTTTTAATTGCACTACCTAACGAAGACCTAGATGGATATCCATGAAAATATAAATAATAATTACGATAACATTACAGGGATATCAGGGCTTTTATTCTTCTTCTGGTAAATGTCCTGCTATGTGCTCACATGAGCATATTAATTTTGGGTACACCGAAGCAGGCTGGGAGAGCCTTCTGGTGTTGGTGTAGACAACTCACCGTGAACACCTTCTCTGGGCTTCCCTTGGCTCTCATGTTGGTGTCATGGACTTGCTTGAGAATCATCCAGGCTTCATCGTGTTTGCCCATCTGACCAAAACAAGGAAAGACACAAAAAATCATTTGCTGAATCCCTGCTGTGTTCATCATGGATGAAACCCTACAAACTCAAAGGGGTGCCGATTCTGGGGTCCCAGGGGACTGGACATGGCTTCATGTCTGTTCAGTGCTGTGAAAGACTAGGACAAGTTTCCATCTGCAGTTCATCTTGGAACGCTAAGAGGATTGTGCCTTCAAGGTGTAAATGCTACGCACCATTGTCCTTACTCACCACACCATGAACAACCACTCGTGGTTATAGGGCTGAACGGAATGCAGGCTGGGAGTCATGTTTCTTCTCAATGGTGTGACAGAGCAAAGAAGCAATACATTTTGGGTTGAATTCTCACTCCTTTCCCAAAAAAGTCATATTGATTTCTTAACCCTCAACACTTTAGAATATGACCTTCCTTGAAAAGAGGATCGCAGCAGATATGATTGGTTAAGATGAGGTTATCCTAGAGCAGGGTGGGCTTGTAATCCAATAGGATGGGTGTCCTCCTAAGACCACCTCGCAGGGAGGCACAGAGACACGTGTGGACAATGCCATGTGATGATGAAAACTGCAATTAGAGTGGTGTGGCTGCAAGCCAAGGAAAAATCACTAGCAAACCACCAGAATCTGGGGGAGACAAGGAAGGTTTCTTCTCTACAGGTTGCAGAGGGAAATCCTGATAACACCTGGATTTGGGACTTCTGGCCCCCAAAACTATGAGATAATGTTCTATTAAATCACTCCATTTAGGGTACTTTGCTAAGCAACCCTAGGGAATAAACATGCCGCAAAGGATGAATTTTGAGATATCCCTGGTTAGAAAAATGCAGCATCTTCCTCTTGATCTCTGGGGTGAAAGAGGAAACGACATAAAGCTGAAGGAGGCAGCTCCTGCCTGGTCCAACCACACTCCAGAGTCTCCATAGTTGGAAAACTCATAGGACTCATCTCTCAGGACACCCACTGGATGGAGGCCCCAATAGCTAAGACTCCTGAAGGGGCTGAGAACTGCTTTACCAAAGAGCTCACTGTTGAAACATGAAAAAGAAAAATCATGTGTAGCTTTAAAAAGCTTCGGCGAAGAGAAGGTGTCATGGGGTTGCTCTGGAGTCTCCATTCATCTCCACACAGCCTGGGGAGTGGCTCCTGCTCTGTGCCCCAAGCTCCTGGGCCCTTCCCGTGTTGAGCAACCATGAGCTCATGACCGACTGCGACCGTCACCATCAGATTTAATGCTGAGCCAGGACAGGCAAGCAGGAGAAGACAGGGAACCAGGTGCTGACAGAAGCAAGGCTGGGACTTGTTGGCTGTCTCGGTGGCTCTCACACTGGTGAGAATGCATGACTCACCTCCAGCAGAAACCGTGGGCTCTCTGGCATGAACTTCAAAGCCACCAAGGACACGGTGCAGGGCAGCGCGCAGACGATGACAAACACCCTCCAGCTGTGGAAGTGGTAATGGGTCCCCATGCTGAAGCCCCAGCCTGTGAAGGAGCAAGGAAAATTTTCTGGTCTTTTCTGCTACAGAGGAACAGCTCGAAAGCACTGGCTCTCCAGCCACAGGGCACAAGGGTATCTCCTGAGGGCTGGACAGGATGCAAACTCCCTGGCTGCACCCACTGAAGCTCTGAGCTTTAAGTCTGGTGGAAGAGCTGGGGATCTGCACTTTGATGCATCCCCAGGTAGGCCTGCCTGACATTCACAGAGCCCTGGATGAAGGCACAGATGGACTCTGATCCCCTATTTGTACATGGTCATAAACTTCGAGCTAACAAACTGTTACATACAAGAGATGATGTCAGCCTACTTTCACAAGCAATAGCCTGGAATACTGGGCCCAGAATTACACCCACCCTCACCAAACCCGTCTTCTCCTTCCCCCATTCCCTCCAGCAGGGTGAGGGGTCTCAAGCTGACACACATGATCATCACAGAAACCACCATGGTGAGAACGAGCACTCCTGTCTTGATCGCTTGAGTTTATGGCAATTCCTGGGTCTTGTGTACCTAGAGTCTGATCAGAATGGGGGCAGAAAAGGGGATCATGGTCTTAGAGACCACCCTGCCTTGCCTCCTCAGATGGGTGGGACCAGAGGATAGCCACAGCAGTATCTTACATAGCCCAGATGGGGTTCCTTCTCCCAGGTCAAAGGGCAATAATAACAGCTATGGGGGATCCAGTACAAAGAGTTCAAAACCATACTTAGAAAAACACTTTAAGTCAAAATATAAACACATGCTTTTTTAAAATAAAAAACTGAACTCTGACATTCAAATGAATCACCTGTCATTGAAATGCAGAAGTAACTAGCTCCTATTCAGCTGTCAGGTATCATTATTCAAAGCATTACTAAAACTCATTTTCAGAAACTACATTAAAACATGTCTTTGAATATCCCTGTAGGTAGCAAATAGCCCTTTTTAAAGAAATAATAACTCACTGGAAAGAGCCTGGACTCTTGCAGTCATGTAGAGCAGAGTTCAAATCCTGGTTCTATCGCATTATTATTCTGTTAGGTTTTACAGTTGTAGAATGCAGGAAATGTTACCTCCCCAGATTGTCTATATGTGAAGGCTCCTGGCAACTAATAATATTGGGTCATCTGAAAAATCACAACAAAAATGAATCATGACTTTTCAGATGACCCAATAATTCATCTGCTTTGAGGATAGATTTTATTTTATTTTAGTAATAGCTATGTCACATTTAGTGCCAAGAAAGTTGAATAAAATAGATGAAATATCAGCAAGGAGCAACAACAACAAAAAGTTTTAAAAACAAACAGGGGATGGCAGGTGACGTGGAGGTTGAGGGTGCTGGACTCCCTCATGGCCGACCACGGTTCAAGTCCTAGACCTGATGACTTGCTTTCTCACTTTCCCTCTTGCTCTCTCTCTCTCAGATCAACTGGAAAGTAATAATAATACACAAAGTTAAATAAAATAATTCCTTAAAACAAACAAACAAATAAATGAGGGGCCAGCCAGTGGTGAGGTAGTTGGGTCAGCTGGGTCTTATATGGCCTACTGTATAGTCTGAGTCCCAGACTTGACAGCCTGAGGAACATACTAGGCATGTGTGCATGTGTGCCCAAAATCCCAAGAGGAGGGAGAAATGGTAGAGGGATTGTGGCATGGCCATGCCCCATGGGAGGTGCTTTGTCACTTCCATATATTTCTCTGTATCTCAATCTGGTGAGCATGTGAGCCCTCTGGCAGATTAAAAAAAAAAAAAAAGATTATTATTTTATTATTTAAGACTGATTTTCTTGTAGCATTAATGTATTTCTGAAGACAATTCAAAGAGTATTTTTTTTAAAGCAAGCTATATAAATAAATGTATTGATTTCTAAAGCTTAGAGGATAATAATTATTTGGATATAAAATTTCTATTTCGTTTACTCAAAAATATTCTATGCCTGGCAGGTCTCATAACTTAGTGGTTAGGGGAGTTGGAGACTACATGGCCAACTGTAGTTTGAATCCAGGCCCCAGCAGCCTGAAAAACATGGTGTGTGTGTGTGTGTGTGTGTGTGTGTGTGTGTGTGTGTGTGTTTATCCAAAATCCCAACAGGATGGAGAAATGAAGGAGAAGGAATTGTGGCATGACCACGCCCAATGTGGGTGCTTTCTCCCTCTCTTCTCTCTCTATCCCTCTGTCTGTCTCTGGCGAATGGACATGCCCTCTGGCAATTTGAAAGTACACGTATTCCATAGGGCCAGCTCTGGTGCTGAGCGGCTTACGTCTAAGATTCTTATGACTCTCCGTTGTGGTTCGGCTTGTTCTCCCCGCAGACTCCTAACCAGCACCTGCCATTCCTGCAGGTACTTTCTCATCTATTTGAACAATTAAAGGACAAGGCAGGGAGGATCCAAGGTGGGAAAATATGGGACTATGGCCGCTTGGACAAGTTTGGCCAGAGCAACAGAAGACACACTTCATCTGACACATCAGAGACGAAGCCCTTTTTGCACAGAACCACACTTAGGAAAACACAGCTAGGTTTTTAATTTTATTTAAAAAGCTTTTCCTTTCTCCTGGGAGTAACACTAAAAAAGGGAAGATAAAATTATAGCCATATTTGCACATTCTCAGCTTATGTTCAAAACTATTCTGGCATCGTGAGAAGAAAAGCTGATCAAAACTGCACAGCAATCTAACTCCGATGAATAACTGGGAGGAGGGGCAGAGACAGGTATGTTTATAAAGTATTTCGCCTCAGAAAGGTTTTTTTTTTTTCTTTATGGTAATGTGTGTAAATGATCCAAAATCCATTATTCTCTCATGCCTCTATGGCTTTTATGGTATTTTCAGTAATCTGTATTTGCTGCATTCATTAGGCACATCTTTGGGGCCTTAAATTAAATAAAATTAAATGGTGAACTGCTTCCAAATATTCGGAACAATATTAATTTGGACGCAGGGGTTGTTCTCTTCACTGATCTTTTAGCTTGTCCTACTTTTCCCCATCAGGATTTTACAAACAGCTGGTAGTGCTGACTACAATGAGAATTAATCTTCCATAATGTATCCTTTTTTTTTTTTTTTTTCTGGGTTGTACCCATGAGTTCCCAGCAAAACATTTTGTGTTTTCTAATTTTCTTTCTCAATGAGTCGGTCACCGAAATTCCTAGTGCCAAGACCTCCCATCACTTCATTCTTCCAAAAGTAATTACATGGGTTCCACAAGCTATCCACACACATTAGTCTCCTTCTTGCAGTTACCCTTGCATTTGTTAGAGGATTAATGTCTTAGGCATATTGAGAAATATCATCAAATGTCTGGCTTACTCTCGACAAAACATCTGGTCCTGGTAAAATGAGGCTTAAAATAAATAATCGTTCTTGTTGTATTACGATTCTAACCTACCATATTTCTAAAATGGGTTTCCCCCAAGCTAATGCCTGTTTTGATTAAGCCTGATCACCTAGGAGGCTTCTATTTCAAAACCGAGTGTACAAATCACAGGTTTTATTACAGCACACAAATAGGTAGATGTCCTGTTCATTGGGGGTAAAATATTTAGATGTCAGCCTTGCTGTCAGCCGGCAGCAGTGGCCAGCCTGCAGCCATGTGACTCTTCTGCCAAACAGCTGGTTGTTGTGACTACAATGAGAATTAATCTTCCATAATGTATCCTTTTTTTTTTTTTTTTCTGGGTTGTACCCATGAGTTCCCAGCAAAACATTTTGTGTTTTCTAATTTTCTTTCTCAATGAGTCGGTCACCGAAATTCCTAGTGCCAAGACCTCCCATCACTTCATTCTTCCAAAAGTAATTACATGGGTTCCACAAGCTATCCACACACATTAGTCTCCTTCTTGCAGTTACCCTTGCATTTGTTAGAGGATTAATGTCTTAGGCATATTGAGAAATATCATCAAATGTCTGGCTTACTCTCGACAAAACATCTGGTCCTGGTAAAATGAGGCTTAAAATAAATAATCGTTCTTGTTGTATTACGATTCTAACCTACCATATTTCTAAAATGGGTTTCCCCCAAGCTAATGCCTGTTTTGATTAAGCCTGATCACCTAGGAGGCTTCTATTTCAAAACCGAGTGTACAAATCACAGGTTTTATTACAGCACACAAATAGGTAGATGTCCTGTTCATTGGGGGTAAAATATTTAGATGTCAGCCTTGCTGTCAGCCGGCAGCAGTGGCCAGCCTGCAGCCATGTGACTCTTCTGCCATGGGCATCCATTTAGTATTGGTCAACACTTTCCAGCCTGGTTTCTTAGATTGCTTTCTTAGAAACCAGATCCCCTTCCCATTGCTGTATCTGCGTGTAAAATGAGAATAAAAAACGATATAGTCTGCGATAACTACTGGCCAGTCGCCTTCACAACATCCCTCCTGCCCTTCCATTCTAGGTGTAGTTTAGGTGGGATTGGCCCCGCCCCAAGTTCCAGATATGAGGAAACCATTCAAGACCTGCATCCTCTGGGGTGTTATGATTGGGTGAGGGAGTCACATGATCTAATCTTATCCAATCAAAGGAACTTCAACAGCCTTTGCTCATTGGTTGCATGTAAGGGCAAGCTTCCTTTGTGTAACAAGCTGTCAGCAAACAGGAAGTGTAGAATTGTTAATGCTTCTGGGAAGGAAGGCAGCCCAGACTCAGAACCATGTAGAAGGTTTTCTCAGCACTAACTTTGCATTCAAACATAGTCAGCTATGTGGGATCCAGCTCCCTTAGCCACCAGTCCACAGGACTGGCCTTTGACTGAGTCTTTATTCAAATTTTATTTGTCCTCCCCAAAATGTTTTTCAATTACTTCGTTTAAATGTATCAGTTAACAGGAATAGAATTGTTGGAGAAATTTTAAAGGAGCAATTCTTCAGAACTATATATTCAATGACATAGAAAATGGGTAATTACAGTGTGTGTTTTGATGAAAGGCAGAATGAAAACCCAATTTTTAGGAAAATACAATTTTCTATCTAGAATTACAAAGAACTGCCTACAATGACGGAATTAGCTGAAAAACTCTTTAACTCTTTATTTCACTATTCCTGGTCATATTTCTTCTCTGTTTCTGATACAAAATCCAGTGAATTCTCTAACACTATATATTGGCAAACATGGTTTCCAAACCCCTTTGTACTGTCTAAGCACATGGCTAGATTACATTTCCCAGTGCTCCTTGCTGTAGGGTATGGCCACATCACAGATTTGGGGCCAATGGAGTGTGATCAGAGATAACATGCTTTTCTTCATGTCCCACCCTTCAAGTCACCAATGTACCACTGCCCCTGCTCTTTCCCCAAACCAGAGAGCTTGTAACACACATTGAAGATGGTGAGGTCACATAAAGGAAGGAGTCTGGACCCTCGAAATATTGATGGAGCAGAGCCATCTGCAAATCAGAAATACTAGCCAGCATTCACAAGAGTGAGAAACATCTATCATGTAAAACCACCTATATTTGATGGATTATCAGTTTACTAGGGTAATGTAGTCAATAGCACCGCATCTAACACCAAGGCTGCTTCCTAAAAAGACATGTGGAGCCTCCATTAGGTCAGAACGTATAGTAGAGAGGGTCCAATTTAAGTAAGAAAGTGAACAGGCAGAGAAGTGTTGATTAGCTACAAAAGCCGATGTCTGCTGCCCCCTACTGGTCTTCAGGATTCTAAAGCATGGCAACACCTGGACTCATCAGTGGTTTAACAAAAATTATTTTGAAGGATGATGATGGTAAAATTCAGTATACTCAAAAATAAAAATCAAATTCAAAACTTCTGCATTCTTTATACTTTACCTTTGACAAAACCAATGGTAAAAGTTAATGTCCCTAGATCTCTATTCAAAGAATAGAATTTTTACAATTATCCAGGATAATAAATTGGTCCCAATAAATTGGAAACCACGACCTTACTTATAAAGGCTGTTCTAGTTCTTTTTTTTTTTTTTTTTTTTTTTGGAGAGATTTTCGCTATGTGGCATGTGAGCTTGCTAGACAGAGAGAGACATTAGAGACAGAAAGCAAGAAATTACCCCCCCCCCAGGGGGGATGGTCACGCCGCAATCCCTTCTCCATTCTCCTCTCGGGATCTTGGGCACGCACGCACATGCGCGTGGCGTGAGTTTTAAGCCACCTGGTCCGGGACACGAACCGCGGTCGACTACATGGGAGTCCAGCGACATAGCCATTACGCTAACTGCTGGTTTCCCCCAGTTCTTCAGCCAACCAAGGGTGTCCATAAGCACTACAGAGTGAAGTAGTATATAGGTGTGCTATACCTGAAGGGAGCATCCAGATTCTAGCCCCTTCCCCACTATGGTGCCAGGGGCACGACCTTGGGCAAGGTACCAACTTCTTTTGGCTTTTGTTATATCTATCATCTATACAATGGGAATACCAAACCCTAACCTGCTGGAGGAAGGAAAACTAGAAGAGATGAAGATTAAGATGTTTTCAGACAGGGACCAGCAGACAGCATAGTGGTTACATCACTGGACTCCCACATGGTCAACCATGATTTGAGTTCGTGAACTGGTGGCTTGAAAATCACACTGGAAGCATCTGTGTGTATGCCCAAGATTCTGGGAGGAGAAAGGAGGAGAGGGGATTGCAGCTTGGCCATCCCCCTGGGGGGTGATTTCTTACTTTCCCTCTCACTCTTTCTGTCTCTCCAGCAAGCGCATCTGCCCTACAGCAAAAACCTCTAAAAATAGAAAAGGAGAGAGGGAGGGAGGATAAACTGCTATTTCTAAAAAGACCTGTGTATTGAAATGAACTATGTATCCGCAATGTGAGATGTTCTTTGGAAAGTTCAAAGTTATAGAGGAATTAGGTATGAGTGCAGGGAATAAGACCGAAGACAGTAACGTTGTTTGGATGCATGTGCCACAAAAACAGGGCCCCATGCTCTCTGAAGCCATTGGCTCACCATAGTGTGGGATGATGCTCCAGGCCATGGCAGACGCGTAGAGGCCCCCAGTCATCCAGAACATTCCCAGCCAGCTGAGGTGTTCTCCTCGCTTCTCCCGAGACAAGAATTCCGAAAAATAGGCAAAGACAATTGGCAGAGAGCCCCCGATACTGCAAAGAGAAAATGCAAGAAAGAAAGAATCCAGTCATACAGTAAAAAACGTTGTAGCAGTCACCAAGAGCCTTATAACCCACCCTTACGCTCTGTGGTGAAATACACTAGAGAATTTGAAAAACCAGTCATGTAGTCCTTCTCCACATGTGGGAAGCGATGTGAGTCATGTCTTCATGTACTGATTTATAACCTAATCCTAACCTGAATCCTTTCTAAATTCAACTTTAATATAGTACTCTGAAAGTAAAACAAGTATCTGAGTCCACAGGTTTCCAGAGGTTCGTTCGTTCGTTCTTTCTTTCTTTCTTTCTTTCTTTTTTTTTTTTTTTTTTATATTACATTCATTCTTCAACCACTGTGATCTGGCTTCCTTTTCATTTGCATTGCAGACACGGTGCTGCCAAAGGAAGTCAGAGACTCTGGACCACTGGTATCATCTAGAGGATTCGCTTTCCTCCGCATCACTGGGAGCTTTACCTTGGTTGTTCAGATCTCCTTACAACTTCTCCCTTAGTTTTTATGACTGTGCTCTCTCCTGTTTCCCTAATCTGATCATGTAAACTTCACTTTTCCAGTTATTATTTCAGCAACCAATTAATACACAAAATAATAAGATGGCATATGTCAAATCATGTTTGCATATAAAAAGAACTATGGATATTGTATATTCTCATTATCTCATCAGCTTATTAAACTTATTTATTTATTTATTTGCTATAGGGTGCGTGTTCTCACCAGAAAGACAGAGACAGAGAGACAGAAAGCGAGAAATCACCCCCCAGGGGGTTGGCCACACCACAATCCGTTCACCGCCTTTCTCCTCTCGGGATCTTGGGCACGCACACACATGCGCCCGGCATGAGTTTAAGCCACCGGGTCTGGGACTTGAACAGCTGTTGACTACATAGGAGTTCAGCAACATAGCCATTACACTAACTGCTGGCCCCTAGAGGTACTTCTCAAACATAGAGTACCAAAGAAGATGGACTCTAGGAGGGTCCCACTCAAGCTGAGTACATACCCTATGCCTGAGATGAGTCGGCAGAAGAGGAAGGCTCCATATCCCTGCACGAAGGAGGAGAGGGAGGCAAAGGAAGCGTTGATGGCCAGAGCCATGCTGAGGACTCTCTTCCTTCCCAGTTTATCAGCCAGGCCCCCCAGGATAAAGGCCCCTGCCATCATTCCTAAGTAGACTATCAGCCCTGTGAAGAAGGAAAAAAGAAGGAAGAGAATACATTTAAAAACAAGGGGTTAGAGGTCATTTGAGGGTTGGAAAATCCAGTGTTCATTTTTACCCATCCTACAAATTCCTTGTCATAGACACAAAAGGTGAAATGTGACAAGATGTTCACAGCCAATCAGAACCACCATGTAAATGTAAATCTTTACACATCTTATTCCAAAAAACAGCCTTTCTAGGTTTACACAGATGTACAAAGTCTAAGCCAGATCAACCAACACCGATACAAGTACCTTTTCATTGTCAGGGGGCTCGTGCGCTTGCCAGAAGAAGATACTCCTCAAAGGAGTGTGGCCATGCCACAATACCTTCTTCGCCATATCCCCACTCTGTCTGAACTTTGGGCACACATGCACATGGGCCCAGCATGCTTTCCATTGTGCAGGGGCTGAGAATCGAGCTGCCATCGGCCAGGTAGAACCTGGGCTCTGCTAACCATTAGGTTATAGGGTGGGTCCAGATACACTTTTCAAAAGACTATCCTTTTGAATGCATAATCTGCAGACAAGGGAATTGCGTAGTTTTACTTTTAAACCTGAAAAGGTTTTGTGCTATGACAGTCTTTGCCTGAGGGGCTATATTTAAGGAGAGAATTTCCAGGGTTAAGTGTGGAAAAGTGGATATGGAAAACATTGGGAAAGAAGATGAGAGTGCAAACAAAAATAGCAATTGCCAACAGGGCCAGTCATCATGACACACCAAGAAGGATGTTTTCAAGCTACAACTCGTCCATACTTCTTAAGGAATATAGCACGATTTGCATATAATGTGAGAGATAATATCCAATTTTGTTCTTCTACATAGGATTATCCAGTTTTCCCAACACCAGATAAAGAGAATGCCCTTTCCCACTTTTGTGTTCTTGCCCCTTGTCAAAAATCAATTGACCAGGACCAGCAGTTGGCATAATGGCTATGTCACTGGACTCCCACATAGCCGACCACGGTTCGAGTCCCACACCTGGTGGCTTAAACTCACACTGGGCATGTGTGCGTGCGTGCCCAAGATCCCAAGAGAAGAATGGAGGAGAAGGGATTGTGTCGTGGCCATCCCTCCTGGGGGGTGATTTCTTGCTTTCTGTGTCTCTGTCTCTCTCTGTATTTCTGGTGAACACATGTACCCTACAGCAAAAACCTCTCATAAAAAGAAAAAAATGTATAAATGTAAAAAGGCCATAGTTCTGTGGGCTATTGTTTCATAGCTTCTAAACAAAATATGGTCATCCCTGCTAATCTTTAAGTGGCACACAGTTCCCTTGCTTCAAATCCCAGATCTCTATTTACCTTATGTATTTATTTGCTCCATGTTTGTCAAACTCCTTTGACCCTGAACTTCTGGAGGAGTCTACCATGTCGTTTCTGTTCAGGACTCTCTACCACGTCTGCAGTACTTAGCACAGAGACTGACACAGAGTAGGTGCTCATTTATATGTGTTCAATAAATAATTAAAATACGATAAGTAATTAAAATAATACAAGGAATAATTAATATTCACTAAAAAATCTGAAAATCACCTCCAAAACAGAGAAAAGATAAAGCAAAAATGATCCGTTATACCACTCCTGAAAGACAGCTATGGTTGGCAGTTTTGTTTCTGAAATTCTATTTGGAGTTGTTCATGTACAAGTATATAATGTATTCAAATTGTTGAGACGATTCTGTATTGAAACTTTTAGTCTGATTTTTCCATTCAATAACCCAATAAAGAACATCCCTGTGTATATGTCCTTATCTGCATTTCTAATTACTGGTTCAGAATAGATTCCAAGAGAGGCCAGCAGGTGGTGTGGTGGTTAAGGTGCTGGACTCCCACATGGCCAGTGTGGTTCTAGTCCCGGACCTGGCGATGAAAATCAAACTGGGTGTTTGTGCATGTATGCTCAAAATCCCAAGAGGAGAATAAAGGAGAAGGGTTTGCCGAATAGCCATCCCCCCAGGGAGTGACTGCTCACTTCCCTCTCTCTGTAAAATAAAAGAATAATAGATTTCAAAAAATGGGATAAGGAGATCAACAGGTTCGTGATTAAGACACAATGACAAATTTCCTTCCAGAAAGCTGGCACATAACGCAAACCTTTCATCAGTCCTAGAGGTGCTACTTTCACACAGAATATTTCCTCTCACCACCAGAGAGAGGCAAGGACATGAACATCAAACTGCACTCTCTTGTAGTAGGGATGTGAAAGAAGAGGGAGGCTCTTACATAAATGATCTTTATTTAGCAATTAAGTAAGAACAAAGACGTCACTTTCAACTTTCTTCACTTGAATGCCTAGAAATTAAATGCACTCATTATCCTGGGGGGATTCTGAGCTCCCTTTTTCTGCAACCACCCAAATATTTGATTGTATGCATATGCTTTGCAGGGATAAAACTCAGTATCTTCCAAATAAACTGTCTCCATCGCATCTACTATATCTAATAGATCATTTCTGTTATTTCCTTTCCATTTCTTTATTATTCAACTAAATATATCTTCCTTCAGGGTAACATACATTTGGACAAAAGTCTGGGATTCACAGTCTCATGAAAAGATACATGTGATAAAGTTTTTTTTTTTTTTTTGAGAGGTCTTTGCTATAGGGTGCATGTGCTCACCAGAAAGACAGAGAGAGATAGAGAGACAGAAAGCAAGAAATCACCCCCCCCCCAGGGGGGATGGCCACGCTGCAATCCCTTCTCCTCCATTCTCCTCTCAAGATCTTGGGCACACATGCATATGTACCCGGCATGAGTAACCCGCGGGCGCCAGGCCTCGACCCAGCAGATGAAGTAATGGCTACATGAGAGTCCAGCAACATAGCCATTACTTCATCTGCTGGTCCCAACATGTGATAAAGGTTTAACACATATAGAAGTCCCTTAGAGAACTCATACTTAGGTATTAAATCATCTACCTGCACACCCTGTGAAGTCAGATGGATTGGTTTACTCAGCTGGTACTTTGTTTATATGACATAAGGAAATGTGGAAATGTCTGGTGAGTCAACTCTTTTGGGTCTAGATAACTTGGCACAGTAAAGGTTTGGCTTTATGCGTGGAAACGTCTGGTGAGTCAACTCTTTTGGGTCTCGATAACTTGGCACAGTAAAGGTTTGGCTTTATTAAGCTGACTAGTGGAAAACAATTTAGAATCAACAGGCTAAACTTTCCTAGCCCTTTCTGTGTCCAATAAACTCAAGTGAAGTTGAATTCTGAATTTTCTTCAGAAGTAGGTTTACTTTCCCATTTTATTAGAAGTTAAAACTCATCTCTAAATGTCACATTAAGATATTTAGAAGGCCAGCTCCATAGCCTGGTAGTTAAGGGGGCCAGATCCCACGTGGCCAGCTATGATTCAAATCCCAGACCCAATGGCATGGAAAACATGCAAGGCATGTGAGCATTTGTGCCTCAAATCCCAAAAGGATGGAGAAATGGAAGAGAAAAGATTGAGGCATGACCACACGTCAATGAAGGCGATTTCTCCCTCTCCCTCTCATCTCTCTCTCTCAGGTGAGTGCATAAGCCCTCTGGTACTTTAAATAAATAAATGATATTTAGAAACAAATATACAGAGGAGAAAGGAAGCAACACATCTGTGATTCTAACAGGTAGAATCACAAAGACCAGTTCGGCGGCCATTACATATATGCATTCCCAGTGACTGATGCTGATGGCTTTGGCAGTAGGCAACAGAGGAAGTGGTGGGGGCCAGCAGGTGTCGTGCTGGTTGAGGTGCTGGACTCTCACATGGCTATCTGTATATATATGTATGTACATACATAAATATATATAGATAGAGAGAGAGATACATATACATATATATATAGAGAGAGAGATACAGACATATATATATATGTGTGTGTGTGTGTGTGTGTGTGTGTGTGTGTGTCTTTCCCTGGTGAGCACACATGTCCTATTACAAATTTTAAAGTAATAATAATAAGTTAAATTAAATAAATAATTATTTTTAAAAAGTGAAAGTGGTAAGAATTTGACTAGATTCTGGATATATGTTACAAGGGGAAGGATGGTGTTTAAATTTCGCGAAAAAAGCGTATTATGCAAAAACTGTGTGAATGTGACATTTTTCACACCAAAATTAATTTACACTTTAATTCAATTTGCCACAAATTTGGGGAATACCCCTGTATTTCCTAAAAGCAAATAGGCAATACACACTGATGTAGAGGGAGGAGCCAACAATCAGGGGTCCTGGGTTCTGGTCTCAGAACATGTGACCTTGACCTAGCCACATCCTCCTTGGGGCTCAAGTTGGAAATGAATGCTAGTCTAGAAGTTCTCTTTCATCCATTTCACTTCTAATATTAGATGGTTCTGTGAAGGTGTCATTCATGCCTGTGCCTTATTATCTGTTCACATCTTTCAAGGATGAGACTTCCCTTTCTAAGAGCCACAAAGAGGTTAGGCAGAAAGGCCAAAGAAAGGATGAGACTTCTCTGGGCTATTTTCTGCACATCCCCAGCAGAGATTGATGTATGCCTCTGAGTCAGCACAATCTCCAGCAGTGAAACAGAAAACGCTCTCTCAGCACATCTGAGCAGCCACAGGGCCAGTCCGCACGGACAGGAGGCTGTTCACATTCAGTCTGTTCAGTGCGCCCCATGGGGCATGACAAAGGCTATTACCTTTCCAAGACCATCTCCTGCTCTCCCTTCCCTCCTCCTCTGCCCTGCTAATATCTGTGACTTTCAAGCTTCCTTCGCTGGAAACTAAGTCAATCCTTTGCAAAACAAAACTCAGCTCATCTAGACTTGGACTGCTTCAGATTTATAAAGAGGGATTTTAAACCCACTGGCCTATGAAGGGCCATTTTAGCTGTGCAGTCATGAACTCCACCAAAGGTCTGACTGCTTCTTGTCTGATGTGGTTCCTGGCACAGGGAGCATGCAGGAGTCCTCTGTGCCTTACTGGTCTGGTCTACACCGGGTAGTGGGTAATCCCTTAGGACTCTTTCAA